GTTAAGATTTATCTGTATTAATTAGGATTTAGAACTATTTTAGCTAGTGTTGTCTAATAATATAATCCTAAGAACCTAAGTCTACTATTATAAAGGGGTAGTTATAAATCTTTTAGCTACTAACTATTATATAAAGCTAAATATAGTAGGCAACTAGTAAGGAAATCTAATCCTAGAACCCTTTAATAGTAAGCTTGTAGGGTAGCTTTTAGATAGGTACCCTAAGCGTAGAAGAGATATTATAAGCAATTTTTAAATTAAGAAATAAATAACCTTAGGCCCTAGTATCTACTAAAGCGTTTAGGTAAACACTAGATCTATTAAGGTATAGGGTTATATATACAAGTAAATAGGAACTAATAAATAATTTAGTTAAGGAAAGGTTTAATAGGTTATATTAAGTTAGGCCTAGGAAGGAGGATCCTCCTAGGCGTTGTTGTTTCCTGTCTAATAGCTATCTAAATTAGTTAATTTAGTAGTATCTTCTTCCTTAGAATTCTTAATAACCTATTCTATATCTATGGCCTAAATCCTAGGGGGTTTAGGGCAGTTACTAGAGAAGTGCCTAGGCTTTCCACAATTATAGCAAGTTACTAGGGTTCCTGTTATAGTAGCGCTAGGAGTAGCTAGCGTAGTAGATAGGGGTTAAGTAGTTTAAGGGATAGTGCCTTATTGTTACAAGTAGGGTATATAAGGTTTAGCTATTAAAGGTCTATTATAGGGTTTCTAATTAGCGTCTAAATAGGACTAGTTTCTAGAGTATTAGAAGGGGGTTAGTCCTTTTCTAGATAATAGAGTAGTCTAGGTAGGAGTAGATAAGGTAGGGTATAGGCAGCGTTCTATATTAAAAGTAGTAAGATAATCTACTATAGTCTTAAAATTATTATACTAATTCTGTTAGAAAGTAAGGTTTAGTATCCTTAGGGAAGGTGTAATCTTTATCTAGAGGTAGTAATACTACTCTAATTAGGGTACTTCTCCTCTAATAGCAAGACTCTAGAATTATAACTTAAAAGTAGGGAACGTCTCTATATTAGTTATATACAGGTAGTTAAATATAGTCTAACTCTTAGCTATCTTATTTCTAGTAATAAAGTAAGTTTAAAGGAGGGTAATTATTTCCTTAGCTTTTTAGAACTAAAGACTTAGGGAATTAGATAGGTAACGTAGCTCTAAGTATTCTCTTGCTAGTCCTAAGTAGTGTCCCTAGACTAACGCTATCTAAGCTCTAGAAGAGGGGTAGTAATTAGTATTAATCTCTAGCCTATCCTAAATAGATACTTACTATTATCTAAAAGTAGGATTAGCACTATTACTAAGTGTAGAGATATTTAGCGTCTTTTTAGATTATCTCTTAGCTTTTATAGTATATACTATAGGGTTTAATATAGAAGCTAAAGACTAGCTAGGTTAGGTAATACCCTATATCTCCTTATAGAGGGAGGTGTTATATAACTAATTAGTAAGTTACTTAACTTATTCCTTTAACCTCTCCTTTTTAGATAGGGTTAATATATATTTATCTTTAAGGGAGGTATTGCTTTAAGATTTCCTAGGAGCATAAGGTACCTTAAGGGATAGATAGGAAGCGGGTCCTTCTAGGAGGGCGTTGTTAATTAAGTCTTCCTTATCTAATTTCTTTCTATTAGTAAATAGGCTTTTAAAAGTAGCTAAACTAGATACCCTTCCTTTACTTTTATCTAATATTTTATAGTTAATAAGAATAATAAATCTTTTCTTTTTCTTTTAGGGGGTTTAGTTATAGAAGGATATTAGCTTTGCCTCTAATTCCTCTAGGCTTTTAGTAGTCTCTAGGTCTCTACCTTAACGCAATCTAACGCGATTTTTCTAAAGGTAATCTAGCACTACCTATAGGTCTAGAAGTCTAAGCCTATAGGCTTTAGTCGTTAGAAGTTCTAATAGCTATTCTAACTATAGAGTTGCAGGGTTAGATAGCTACTAGAACTAAATTAGTAGCTTAAAATAATAATAAGTGCGATATTCTTAAATACTATTACTAGCTAGGATAATATTCTTCTTATAATATAACAACTTAGGTAGGTAGGGCATCTAAAAGGTATCCTATACAACTTAAAGGTATATAGGAGTGCGTGTCTATATAGAAAAGGATAAGATTCCTACACCTATAGGTCTTGTATAAAAGGACAAGAAGAACATGCCTATCCTATCTATAGGCGAGCTGTTCTCTATATATATAAGTGAGTCGGGCCTTTATTAGGCCTAACTTGGCATAGAATAATAGGCAGGCAATTCTGCCCTATTGTTATAGGTAGCTTCCCTAAGGAGCTCTATTACACGCAAGAAGCGTGCCTTAGAGTCTATAGGGAGCTGCCTAGGTTGCTCTAGCCTAGGATCTATAGGGGGAACCTTAGAGGAGCTAGAGTCCTTATTTTCTAATAAGGAGCTCTAGGCACCCTTAGCTATAGTATTAGCCTTGCGCGCAAGCTTAGTAGTAGTAGTAGTAGCTTTTACTAGCTCCTACTACTTAGCCTTACTCTCCTTAAGGAGCACTAAGACCCTCTGCTTCTTATCCTTAAGAAGGTCTTAGCTCTTACCTACCTACTTCCTTGCTAGGAAGGATAGCGTAGAATATTAGGCAAGCTTAGGGCTATTAGTTAGTTAGTATAGATCTTACTAAGCGTTATAAAGGAAAAATTCTTATATAGATTATATATATTAGGATATAGCTATACCTAAAGAAGTACTACTAGTACTAAGTCCCCCTACTAGAAGAGTTATAGCACTTGCTATTAGACTTATTAAAGAGTATAGAGCGTAGATAATTTAGATAAGTTTTAGTATAATAAATACTAGGCTCTCTATAGTAGGAGAATCTTAGGGTCTCCTTAGGAGCTAGAGAGGGAGTAGGAGTAGGGATATTAGGTAGGGTCTAGGGAGGAGCAGGAGCTAGAGTTAGAGTTAGAGCTAGAGTAGTAAGAGCTAAGGTAGGAGCGCCCTTCCTTAGCTTCTTAATCTTAACTATAGTAGTAGTAGCTATATACTTAGCTACTACACGCTCTATAATAGCCTTACGCTTAGTAGTAGCACGCTCTTCTTTAGTAGTAGTAGCTTTAGTAACTATAGCTTTAGCTACGCAGGAGGTAATAAAGGTAGCGTAGGTAGAGTAAGTATAAGTAGTAGTTTTTAACTTTAACTAAGATATAGGTTAGTAAGAATATAAGTATAGTTTAGACCTTTAGGGTTATATAATCTTATAATTTAAGCTATAGTAAAGATTATAGTTAGGTAGATAGAGTTATAGAGCTTAGTCTAGATAATATCTATACGCGTAAGCGCAGGCTAAATAAGGAAGGCGCGCTAGTTAGTATCTAAAGGGTAAGCTAATTTAACCTTTTAGATATATAACGCTCTAATTAGCTATACTACTTACTAACTATAAGTGTAACTATAATAATAAAAGATCTACCTATACCTAGGGGGTGTGTTATAGGAGGGATATTAACTAGATTATAGAGTATCTTAATCTAATTAATCCTAATTAATACCCCTATATAACCTACTATCTAATTAACTACTAGCTTACTACTAAGTACCTAATAAAAAGCAGGAGCTCTAGTAAGGAAGGTTTACTAATTATTTACCTTCTAGTAAGGGTAGCTAAAGCTCTATATATATAAGTACAATTATAGTAGATATAATCTAATAATCTATCTCCTAAATTATTCCTAACCTTAGTAATCTAGATTTCTACAGGTTTACTATACTATGTATTCTACTTTTACTTCTACTTCTATTAATCTACTAGTATTACGTAGTAATAACTAGTTTCCTACTAAGTACTAACTATCTAAGTATTTTACCCCTCCTTTCTTTAATCTTCTTTACTACCTCTACCACCTCTACTACCTCTATTACCACCTCCACCACCACCTCTACCACCTCTATCACCACCTCTACCACCACCTCTACCACCACCTCTACCACCACCTCTACCACCACCTCTACCACCACCTCTATTATTACTACCTCCTATTAGTAAAAATATTATGACTTATTATTATATTATATATGCGTATAGCATAAAGCTAATCTTCTCTACCCCTTTTAGTCTTAGTTAGGTATTATAGCGTGTAATAGAAATAAAACTACTTTTTATACTTAATTTAAACCCCTACTATAATAGTAAACTACTACTTTAATAAAAGTAAACTACTACTTTAAACCTATTTATAGGTATACACAAGGGCAGTTTATACCTATATAGTAAACCCCTAGCGTACTATTCTATAGTAAACAATTTTTTACTATAGTAGGTATGTTATAAAGAATTAGCTATATTAGTAATAGCTACTAGTTAAAGGGGAAATCCTTACTCTACTAGGTTAAGTATATACTCTATAATTACTTCCTTCTTAATCTTATCTAGCTTTCTTAATTTAGGCTTATAATCTACCTATAATAGTTATCCTAAGTGTTAGTAGGATAGTGTAGTTTATAGAATGTTAAAGAGGGCTATAGCCTATTATAAAGAGATTATCGCGTCTTATTTAAGAGCCTAAAGTGCAAGCTATATCTAACGTCTATTAGAAGGTTTTATCTAGTAATATTATTAAGGCATTATGTAGGGAGATGGAGTTTTAGTAGGGTCTTAGCAGAGTGTCCTGGTTACCCGTGGGGTACGTTAGTAAGGCTTGTAACCCAGACATTTAGCTTATTGTGGCCCAGACGAATATCATTTGCCATCTCACATGGGGCAGAATGGGATTGTAGTACATGCACGCACAGGTGAATTCAAGCATGTCCCTCCGGCAAAAATCCACAATTGCCTCTTGAATTCAAAATGCACAGTTTTGACAAGTGAATAGTGTTCCAACACTTGTATTACTCTATCAAGGATAAGGCGTCGCTAGTTCCGGCATTGGTGCATCTGGCACGCGTGGGATATCTCCGCATCTTGGCGGATCCACCTTCATAGACACTCACTTGCTGTGTAGGTACTTGGTTTGTATGGGCTCAACATGGCGTTCGTACAGCAAGCGGCCTCGGCCCAGATGACTCCGCGGTTTCAGAGCTATGAGTCCTCCCCTCATCAGCTGCCCCCGGGGTTATATCGGAAGGTTGAAATTGAAGCCACCACGGAGAATCTCTACCAGAACCCTCTTGCCTCGTCACGAACCAGGATGTCCGCACCCTTTCTGGTGTATCCTATTTCTTCTACCAAAGGACCGAAGGACCGTTGCAGATCTATTCAACTCGCCCTGCACTCTGTCATGAGACCAGTACTACAAGCGCAGGTAAGCAGCTCGCCGGAAACTCCGAGCAAGGGGTGTAGAGTGTTTGGCAAGCAGGGTCAAGAACATTTCCACCATTTGGAGCTACGGTACGGGATGGTCTGCCCATGTGTGGTGTTGTAATGGGCTTATATAGCTCACCACTTCCCCCAGTTCTTTATTCACAAGTTCACATTGCGGTCACTTGCTTTGCCTTGCAGTCTCTTCAACTTCGATTTACTGACTCATATCGTTTGTATCGATATTCGTATCCTTTCTTGCAATTGCCATGCGTTCTACTTTCTTTGCGGCTGTGCTCGGCACCGCTAGCTCAGTCTATGGCTATGCGGATCCCATGCCCTGCAGTGGAGTCTGCACCGTCGCACACGATCCCGCCTTGATTCGACGAGGTGACGGAAAATACTATCGATTCGCCACCGGTGGTAAAATTTCCATCCTCAGCGCACCACACATTACCGGGCCATGGACGTCAGTAGGCCCTGCCATTCCCAAAGGTTCAATAATCGGCCTGGCCGGCAGGACCGATCTCTGGGTATGATGGACAAAGTTTAAAATGCTTGAACAACACTGACAGATACCGATGTTGAAGGCCCCAGATGTTACCAAGGTTGGCGACACTTACTACCTATACTACTCCGTGTCAACCTTCAGTTCACAAAACTCGGCTATCGGTGTCGCAACGAGCAAAGACATGGACACTTGGACCGATCTCGGGGCCACGGGAATATCCTCGGTACCGGTAGATGGGAAAAACCCCCCGTACAATGCCATTGATGGTGCGCTGTACTGGGACGGCTCCAAGTTTGTCATGTCCTTTGGTTCCTTCTGGGGCGGCTTGTTCACCATCGACATGGAAAATCCACCGGTCAAGATCGCCTCCGGTGCGACCGCCAAAAGTATCGCTTTCAAGCCCTTAGGCGGCCACGCCCAGGAAGCTGCGTTCATTGCTAAGAACGGCAACTACCACTACCTGTTCTTCTCTGTAGGAAAGTGCTGTGGCTATGACAAGGGGCGTCCGGAACCGGGAGACGAGTACAAGATTCAGGTCTGCAGGTCGACAAGTGCCACCGGCAGCTTTGTTGATAAAGCTGGTCAGAGATGCACCGAGGGAGGCGGAACCACTGTGCTGGAGTCACACGGCTGGGTGTACGGACCGGGCGGTCAAGGGGTGTACTATGACCCTACGGATGGGCCGGTGCTTTACTACCACTATGTGGACACACGTGTTGGTTATAGTGACGGCCAAAAGAGGTTCGGCGTCAACAAGATTGACTTTTCCAGCGGATGGCCTGTCGTATAAGCTGTCCCGAGCGTTGCGCAAGGGCTTGACACGGGTCTCAAGCCTGTGCTTCTTCACTTCTATTCCAGTATATGTATGTCTTTCGCCCGTCACTCCCAATCAGATTCGGGGTGCGCCATCATTTTCTGATCAATCCATCACGGAATTCTTACTTCTGCCAATTGAAGCTGACTGACAACATCAAGCGGAATGCAGTGGTAGTGTTTAGGTTAAGCTTACTCTCTAGAAGCCGGCTCTAGCTTCTTGGCGTGTCCCGTCCTGTCAGGCCCTGGATGCGGGGAAGTAAAGTTAACCAAACAGGTGGAGCTTCGGCATCACCAAACACGGAGAATGTCCGTGGTCTCATCGGCCCAACCCCGAAACCTGTTGCCAGCATCGTGAGACGTCAACTAAATCGACTTATCTACTACAACGTTTTCTTAATCAGCACAATCAATCCCATCAATACATTTTTCAAGTTCAAACTTTACAAACAAAAATTGCTCAAGGCCATCCCCAAGCGCCGCGAATCCCCATGATGAACAAAGTCTGGCTTACGTAGGGAGTGTCCCGCAAAAGCTCTGGCTATAAATAATCACTGCGGAAATCATACCGTACAGCTTGCCGTGCACAGCGAAAAGGACAGCAATACCATTCGCATTCGCCGAGGCTCGTGTTCAAGTACAGTCATGCTGGTCTAGAAATGGCCTAGTATAGTAACTGCGGCAGCCGAAAGCAAGCTCTCATTGAAGACACTGTAACCTAGGAAAATCTTCTCACGCAGGCTTTGGCCGCGCCCAACATGGCATTCAACAGCCGAATTGCTGTCAGACATTGTAACCTATTCCACGTCCAACCTGGAGAACAACACCCAGTTTTTCCGACTCCATGGCATCCCGTGCACATTGGACGAACTGATTTCATGTTTGTGTTTTGCAGGTTTCGAAAATGACATCCAGGAGTGTTTGAATCAAAGGACGTAATTCAATCGGAGAGAGTGCATGTATCACAGCGGAAAAGAAGCAGAGTTGTAGGGATAGCTAGTCATGATTCACATTTGGAAGAAAATACGCATCAGCGACAATGGTCTTGCACTTGAATTTATGTTTTTGATTTGGAAAATGATTGAAAAGCAGTCTAAGTATGGTATCTCGTAAATCGCTTGCTAATCATCATGAAGGAAAGTCAACAACGATGACGACAAAAAGAAAGAAACGTCGCCAGCATTGTTCATCGGCCGCCAATCTGGCCGGTGGGAATAGGTTTAACCCAGATGAAGGCGGCATTCATGATGATGACAATGATGCCCATGATCCAAAAGACCTGTGCGTAGTTGGTCTTGTGGTAGCGGAAGATGATGGCAAAGATGATGCCACCAAAGTTGCCCGTGGCACCGACGATGCCAGAGAGTACACCGTTGGCGTGTGGGTGGATGTGCGGGACAAGGGCGAAGTTGGCACCGTTGCCCGCCTCGAGGAAGATGGCCATGACGGCGATGAGGCCAATCATCTCATCAAGCTTATGTGGGTTAAGCTTGCCAATGACGATGAGGAAGATGCCAGACATGACACCGACAAAGTGAATCCAAAACTTCTTGGCCCAGAGGTTCTTGTTGGTGGCCTTGTAAATCAAGTCGCCGATGAAGCCGCCAAGGGGACGGGTGACGACGTTGAGAAGACCAAACATGGCTGCCCATCGGCCTGATGTAGTTTGCCCGAGATAAGGGAAGTTTTTGAGGTAGTAGGCGCCAAGAATGGAGTTGATTGCGAGTTCACCACCAAAGGAGCAGAAATAGCCAGCACAGAGCATGATTGTTTGGATAGAGCACATGACCTTGACACACTCCTTGAAAGTGGGCTTAACAACAACTTCGTGCTGGAATTCCTCGACGACGTGCACATCGCCGGAGCCCGATTCAATGTCGACAGAGGAGGGCGATCGCTTCTTCTCATCGGCTGATGAAATCGAGCCTGATGCTGACGGCTTATCCATAAGACCTCCAGTCGTGGCGACCACGTGTGAGTGCGTATACTGGGTAGGAGCGACAGCAGCCGCACGATCAGACCAGTTCCCGGTGGGTGTGTCTTCTGTCAGAAGAAGTAATCCAGTAGCGACCGCCGTGATGAGAATAAAAGGCACGATGAAGGAGACTCTCCAAGAAACGTGTGATGAGAGACCTTGGTCATTCTTGAGCGAGTCATAGATTGCGGGCATCACAAAGCTGGAAAGAGGTTAGCCGATGATCAGAGCGTGAACGGAGTCGGCTTACTAGGTGATGCCTCCACCTGAGTTTCCCCAACCTCCAACCAATGCATTGGCTGTGCCCACAATGTTCTTGTCATAGAAGCCGGTCGTCCATACCTGACAAGGTACGAAGGTACCACCCAGAATACCAACGAAGAATCGAATGAAATACAGGCCCATGGCGTCCTTGGCAGTGCCTGCAAGCGCGGTCGGAATGGCACCCATGAAGAGCAAGGCTGCAAACGTTATACGGGGTCCAAAATGGTCGCACATGGGCCCCGCGATGAATCGAACGAGCAAAGTGGCAGTGAGAGCAATGATGTTGGAGTTGGCGATTTCATTCTGTGACAAATGCATATCTGCTTTGATACTCTTGCTCAGCTGCAGAGCTGGTCAGCCGTGGTCATGTGACAGGGATATGGGAGAGGAAAGGGGTCGTACCAGAGGTGGAAATGCGTACCTAAATTCCAGTCAGCGCTTGTAGAGAGGGGGGGATTGCAAGGAAGATGTGCTTACCAGGACCAAAAGGCAATGAAGAAACCCAGGTAGGAAAAGAAAAAGACTCGGCCATATTTGTCTACGGGATTGAAGACCGGAATCGACTTGGCCTTCTTGTTGTATGGGTTGATCTCTGGCGCAGACCAGAGCATGTTGACACGAAACCCCATATTGAGGTTCTCTGGGGTAGTAGGTGCTGCAAGGCTGGTTGTGGAGTGGACAAGGATGTCTGTCTACTGAGGCCTTGCAGTCGTGGAATGGCAGGTGTTTGCTGGTCGCTGATAAGGATGCTATGTACGGTAGGATTGAAGCCAGAGGGTTATATACGGTGCTCCCTATGAGCCCCCCCAAAAAAAAGACTACTTCCGCGGTATAGCAGACTGATGCACGGCAGGAGTGCGACAAGGATATCTAGAACGCATATCATGCCAGGCCAAGTGCGATCAGTGTCTCCGGGTGTGTGAATGGTAGTGTTGGCATTTTCGTTATCAGAGTTGGTATCGAGCCCGTCCAAGCCCTCCCTGGGGCCGCAGCAAGCAAAGAAGGCGAGCTAACGCTATGGGTATGCTGGTGAATGGCTCCGATCCACTCCGTCACGCAGGGACCCGTTCTCCACTGGCTCACTCAGCAGACAATGCAGCCAGTCTGAATGGCCAAACGCCGACAGGAACGGTCCAGGATTGGCACAGTGGGATTTTTGTGTTCGCGACAGTCTCGTTTGCGGTGAGATGGCGGGATGGTGGGGACCGGCAACGGCGTTCTTCTTATCTCTTGGCGCTAGTAGACGAGACTAGAGCCTCTGTAGTCGAACTCCCAACAAGGATCGCTTATCAGAACTGCTCGAGATAATAAGAACACTGCTTTTCCGCGGTCGAGATGACAATTTGCCTCTGTCTGTCGAACTGGTGCGGATCATTCAGTCTTGGATCTCTTGCTATCACCCCGTCCAGCCACATCTTCCAGCCAGCTACCGTACCATCGTGGCGTCGATCATCTCTACGACGACTTGAGCCTCGTACGCCAGCAACACGTTGGCCGACTGCTAGGATAGGTAGAAGATGGTATTGCGGACCCTGTTTTCGCAATTCGGTCCTGTTGGAGAAGACTCGATGAATGAATGCACTGGCCTGCTGTCCGGGCGTAGACAACTTCACCGCCACGTGCGCCCTGCGACTCCCAGGCTGTACCTTTAGCAACCACAACAAGATATACAGAGGATTGTAGCACGACTAGGTAGATATGGCCTTCTGTCGAGCAACTCCATGCAGTTTGCCAACCAGGTACCGATGGCGCTGGCCAATGACGCCGACCACTTTTCTCTCAGCAGGCTGATGGCTTGTGAAACGCTTACCAGACCAATCATGCCAAGCAGCAGATGTGCAGTGCCTTATCTCGCATAAACCTGGCTTCCCAGCACTGGCTCCGAGGGAACGCCCAAAAAACAGCGATAGCGGTGCCCATTGATTTGAAAAGGGTCCATGTTTCCCTCGTCCAGCCCTTCTCCGTAGAATGGATGTAGCCTTCCAAGCTGTGCGTAGTATCGAGGCTCTTCTGCGCCATAGTGGCCAGCCAAGGTGAATAGACGATAATCCCTTCATCTTCAGCTCTCGAGGATTCGAACTACTTCCGCGGTGAGTGCGACTGCATGTTCCAACCACAGGGCTTCGCATCTGAGAATCCTCAGGCGGGGGCCATGGCGACATCGGACAACAAACGCCGGAGAAACCTCAGATCTGCACACAATTTGCCATGTGGGTCAGACGTCGAAGCTACATCTCCGTAGAGCAGAGGCCGATAGACTGTTGAGAAGGCTGGAATTATAGTAGGATCTTGTCGGATCAGCAACGGTACTTATCTCGGGAAGGATGGCTGGACAGTGGACGTAATCAGGTTCTCGATTGCAACCACTGAAACCTTTGACGCGGGAATACCACAGATCAGCCCGATGGGTGACTGCGGAGACAAGGAATTGCTGGCAATATTCCTCATCAGGGCGCTTTCCCGCTCAAGTTCGAATCACGCATAGTTTGAGGGGTCCTGGAGACTGCAATATTCTATAAAGAGTCAGCACATGTCTTGTATAAATTGAGTGTCCTTCTCCGTGGCTATCTGTCCCCTTGAAAGCTGGATCACGCCAAAGAATGATGGTGTTGCAACAGCGCATGGACCTTGAGGCAACTCGCCTTCTTCTGGATCCTGGACCGGTTAGGACAAGTTCCCGAGTGGGTAATCGGCCAAAATGAATGCGCTGAAGAGCGGGACAAGGAAGTGAGCAGAAAGCAGAAAAGACAACATGCCTATTCTGTCGACAATGGAGAGACAAGATGACCCCCCCATAGTCATCTCATGTGCAGGTCTCACGCGCGACGCAAGACAGTCCTACGTACCAGTCCCCTTCTCCTTCACACCACCTTGATGGACGAAGCAATTTGAATCCACGTCTGTCCAGAGAAGTCTACACACTCGATTCTTCCAGTCGCGGTGGCAATGTTGTCGTCGATGATGAACTCCTTCCCCTCCCAGAGAAACCTGGGGTAGTGTTAGCGGCTTGGCCCTCAGAACCAATTGGGGGCATTATCGTGACACATCGTAAACCACCCCATGCTTCCCAGGCCAGCCATCTCCAGCCACAAGCTCAGCCTCAGCCATCTCTCCTGGACAGCATTTTGGCGACGCTGTGTAGAGTAGCAGTGACATGTCCAATGGTGTCTCTGGCTAGAAAATGAACAACAATGCAACAGTGACATGAGTACCCATCACCCGAGCAACAGCCTGTGCGTTCTTGTATGCGTAGTTGGATATTGTTTATTACTGAATGACAAGTGAGATTGGGGGTATACATGATCAACTTCTTTCTCTTTCATCATGCCCGTCTTGCCGCCGAGAGCTCCGGCTTCGAGTTTGATCTCGACTGTCGTAGCTCCGCCTGTCACTGCGACTATGGCTTCGACTATGACTTCGGCTACGGCGTCGACTATCGTAGCTCCGACTCCTGCTCCTACTACGGCTGTCATAGCTCCCAGTCCTGCTGCTGTAGCTCCTTGCGCTTCGCTCACTCCTCTCTCCCATGTCCTCGTCCAAGGCATCCACTTCGTCTCCGAGCGGGCTCTCCCTCGGCTCCAACAGATCCAGGTCCTCCAAATTGGCGCGAGATGGCAGCTTCCACAGACTCGTAGCGCAGATGCGGTCTTTGGTGAGGAGGTCGT